TTACAACGATCCCTGTGCAACAAACCCGAATGAACTATAGATGGGTTCGATAATTCAAAGCAAGAACTGAGCAAGAAAGAGGAAATTGCGTGGATAATAAGGCAGCCGGGCCCTAGGCAGCAGCTCTGCCGTGGTGACTGGTCCGGCACAGCACCACTCCCCAGCCAAGCCAAACAATGAAAACCAAAAGCATCCACGGCCCCCATTATAAAACGCTTCATAGGAAGCAAAATTCTCTTTTTGTAGGTAAAAGTGATACAAAGCAGAAGCTGACGATAAATTTTTCCTTTCAGTTTTAATCAGGCTTCCTGTTGTAAAAGCTCAGCAGACAGTGACGCGAGACACTGCCTCCCAACTTCGGTTCACCTTTGCCGTTCCACCAGGGACACCGTGTCAAGATTGTTCAGCTTTTTTGATGAGTGCTGCGTGGGTAACTAATGTGTAAATGCAGATACGTATAGAAAGCAGTTTTGACAGTGATGTATTGCAACTGGTTCCAGATGTCGGCGAGGGATGCTTGGCCAGGCACCTGGGGCTCGCCTGCCACGGAGCCGCACCAGCACCAAACCAGTCTTCAAATAGATCACAAGGCTTTAACTCTCCAATTATAATCTTATTAAATAACCATCGCTCGAGCTTCTGCGTCTCCTCTTCCAGGATGCCTACAAAATATCTCTGTGTTGTTGCTCACATTTTAATTTTAATTAAGGGGAGATAAGCTGCAATGTGAAGCTTAGCATTAAACCCTGCAGTTTGGCTGTCAATGGGAAACTCAAAAGCAAGCTGTTGAATCAGTCAAATTTAACCTTATATTAATGTTTAACATTTTTTATATCACTACACCAAAACTCGCACATTGCACGTGCCAAACATTGAATGAGATATCCCCTAATTGCTAACGTAAACGACGAAATGGCGCAACGAATGCTGCATTTCCTATGGAAGATTACAAACGGGCAGCGGATTTGCCTTTGGTGTTGGAGCACACTGCCGTGGAGGTTGTTTTCAAGGCGGTGGTCTTGCACACAATTGTAAAACCCACGAGAAATACATTGCTGAAGACCCCGAGCATCCATCCGTGGTCCGTGTCCACCGTGCCAAGGACTGGGCAAGCCGCACGCACCCCAGTGGGACGTGCCCCGTCAAACACGGGCACCTCTGCGGGGTCCTCTACCCCCTGCACCTCCCCGCCCGACACCCACTCCTCCTGACCCACTAGCAGGGAGGGATTTTAAATAAAAATAAAAATGTGTATTGAAAAATTACGTAATTAATGAGTGCACCAGCAGCCATGCCCGACGCACAATTAACGCTGACAAGCTGCTGGAGAACGTGGCCGGAGGAGGAACCAGGCAGGGTGCACGTTATGTTCCAAGGAGCAGCGTTTAACCTAGAAAACTGATAAAGTTGCACTTCTTCCAGCACAAGTGTTTGTAGCTCAGCTCCAACATCAGTGTTAGGTCTAAAGGGAATTTTTTCAAACAACCTGCCCATCTCCCTCCTCCTTCAGTACGAAACCCGGCGCTCCAATCGCAGCCGCTCTCGGGGGATCTCGCTCCAGCTACGCTCCCTCCGCGCCGTTTGGGTACCAGCCGTTCCCCTGTTGACCGAGGCGGCTGCAGGAAGCCCCCGCGCCG